GGCACAGAGGGCTCTCCCCGAGCCGGAGGGTCTCTGGCCGCCACACAGCCCCGGAGGGTTGGGTGCGGCAGGGCAGCCGCCAAAGCTTCCGCTCTCAGGCTGGCCTTGGGGCGACCAGTGTCGGGGGCACTGGCACGGGCTGCGACATGGCCGAGCTGCGACCTCAGCGGGGTCCCCCGGGGGGCGCGCCGCAGAGACAGGCACTCGAGTCCAGGCAGGCAGGGGAGCGGCAGCCAGGGCACCCTCGTCCGGGGCTCTCCTCTGCTGCTGACGGGCGGTCCCTCCATCCTCGCGAGGCTCTTTCTGCCGTCGCCTCGCCGTTATCGTGGGGACAGGGAGTGCGGCCGTCATGACCCGCTGGCGTCTCCGCTCGTGTGGGAGGCAGAGCCCGGGAGGGGGGAGCCGGAGCCCCCACGGCCGTGGACGGACGGCACCGGGTCAGGAAGAGCCGCGTGTCCCCGGCTCCCCCCAGCGTGCCGCCGCCCCTGGGGCCGGCCCTGTCACATTGCTCTCCGGGGGTGGCCGGGGTAGCAGCGGACGCTGTTTCAAAGGGCTTTTCTGCCCCCAGGACAGGGGAGGGGGAAGTGGCCGGGCCACGGCTAAACAGGCAGAGTGGACAGAGCCGTGGGGGCGTTAGAAAGGACGGTCCAGCCACTTCCCGGTGGCAGGCCCCGCCCTATGGCCCTGGCCAGCCGGCCGCCAGCAGGACCCACTGCCACCGGGGAGACCCGGGTCCAAGCAGAGATAGGAAACCCAGGCGCCCCGCCCAGCAGGAGGAGGGCCCCCTGGACTCAGGCTTGCCCACTCTCCAGCCAGACGTCCAGGGAGACAGGCCACTGCTGGCCTCGGGCCGATAGGCCAGGGCAGGCCAGTCCCCAGGGCCCCAGAGCTCGTGGTGTTTACCTGCACGCACTGGGGACAGCGCTGGAGGTGGTGGCAGTTCCGCCAGCGGACGTTTGAACCAGACCGGAGGGGAGGAGGGGGGAGGACCGGGGCCTCCAAAGGGAGAAGGCCAGCGACGGGGCCCCTCCCTGCGGGAACCCCAGGGGACCGCAGACCCTGCTGGGGCAGAGGGGGAGGGGGCAGCTCGTGAAGCCCCTGCCCCCCGCCCCGGCCAAGGTCCCACCTCCACAGGGAGCTTTACGGTGGGAAAGGAAAGGGGTGGAGAGACCGCAGGTGTTCTCCAAACCCTGGCTCGTGGCACCCGCGCCGGCCGCCGGGGCGCCCGCCTGGGGACAGCCTGTGGGCTCCCTCCCCCGCCCCCTCCCCCCCCAGCTCCGATCCCGTTGCTGCCTAGGGGCCTCTTGGCAAAGCCAGCTTTGCCGGGACCCCCTCCCAAGCGCCGGCAGGAAAAAAGGGTTCGTGCCGTCTCTCAGACCAAAGGCAAGTCCCCCGAGGTGCACTGGTGGCCTGCACAGACACGGTTGTCACTCTGCACGGCACTGCGGGGGACATTGTGGTCACTAATGAGCCACTTCTGTTAAAAGAAGACTTCTCTGTCGACCTCCCAGTTAAGAGTCCAGCTTTCAGCATCGCGGCCCCGGCTCCCGGAGAAGCAGAATAAACACAATGGGCCCCGGAGTCCTCAGAAATCCGCCCTAATGAGCCTCCGGAGCAGCCGACGCCACGGCGAGACCGGCTGCCTGCCTCAGGCCGGGGGCGGGGGGGGGGGGGGGGGGGGGGGCAGCAGCAGGGGCCCTGGGAGGCTGGGAGAAGCCGGCAGGGAGGGGCCCCGCCCCCACACCCGCCTGCAGGCGGCCACTGGGTGCTGTCCGAGGTGCTGCCCGTGGTCCTTCCACCCCGGCCTCAGCTCACTCACGTGCCCGCCCCTGGACGCAGGGGCGACCCCACCCGCTGGGCACTTGTGGCCCGCCCTGCTCCCACTGACCACCGTGAGCCTGGCTTTGGGCATCAGCCCTGCGGGGACTGGCCCGTTGCTGGGGCTGCCCGAGGTGGCTCCAGCCCAGCCTCCCGCTGACCCTGCCGGCCCCAGCCCCCAGCGTCTGCCAACTTGCCCCCAACTCATGGGGCCCCCAGCGCATGCAGGTGTGCGCCCCCGCGGGGGAGAGGAGCAAGGGGGGGTCCTGGGGGCTGGGGCAGAAATGTCCCCCCAACGAGGTGCCCCAGCTGCCAGGCCGGAGCAAACGCCGCCCTCTGCCCTCCGAGGTCTCAGCTGGAGGCCCCCGAACGCAGGCGCTCAAGCCCAGGGACAGACAGGCACCCGCCACCGTGGGCACGGAAGCCCCGGCGCTCGTGGGGACCCCGTGCGGGGTCCCCCGGGAGAAGTGCTCTGGGGCCACAGCGAGCCTCCGTCCGGATCGTCCGAGACTTGGCACCGTGGCCCCGACCCAGACGAGCTCGGGCCGGAGGCCGCTGGCCGGCAGGTCCCAGCTCAGAGCAGAGGAGACGCCCACAAGGGCATCGTGTGGCGTCACAGACGCCGAAGAGGAAAACCCAGAGCCGGCGGCCCCCGCAGCGGCACGGACCGCGCCACAGCCACACCGAGACACAGACGAGCGTGAGGAGGAGGAGGAGGGGGAGGGGGAGGAGGAGGAGGAAGGCCGGCCGAGGGCGGCTCTCCCACTCCAGGTCTGGGGGACGGACCGTGTCTCAGGTCGGCGCGGCCGAGGTGCGGAGCCGTCTAACTGGAGGGAAGCAGACAGACTCGGCGCCCGGCCAGCTGCTCCTCTCGGCGGTGCGCCGCCCCGCGAGGGCCCAGCGAGCCCAGCGGAGGGGTCGCCGCCCGCAGGGCCCAGCCGCAGCGCTGACTTGGCCGAGTCAAACCCTCCAGGCGGCTGGGGAGGGCGGAGGGCGACCGGGGCCACTCGGCGGGCGGGAGGGGGCCCCGAGCCGAGGGCGAGGCCTGGGGAGGCCCCACGACGACAGTTCGACGTGGACAAGGCCCCCCTCCCTCCGGTCGCAGGCTCCTTGCTCTGGATGGTTCTCTGACACCGTCATTTCCTCCCCTGCAGGCCCGTCGGGGACGCGGCCGAGCCTGGCACCCAGAGGTGGCGTCAGCTCCCCCCGCCTGGAGGCCCCTCGAGGGTGCCCTCAGGCCTCTCTGGGGTCCCCGGCAGCCCCCTCCCCCAGCTGATGCCCACGGACCACGACTCGGGAGACACCGGCGGTGAGGCCAGGGCAGGCACCACGGGTGGGTGACTCCGTGTCGTCCCTCTTCCCTCTCTCCGGCCTTCGCTTTGTCACGACTGTCATTGGCACCCACCGTGCGGCACCTCCCAGATCACACAGACGTCGCGCAGGCAAACTCGCACTGAGCTGGACCCCGGAACGTGTTGGCCACGATGCCACCACCGGCCACCAGGCCAGGCGGCCCTGTGTGTGGCTGCCGGGGCGCCAGGCCTGTGAGCCGATGGTGTATCTGACCTGTGCCCACCGGTGCCCACCCGGCTGCTGCCCCTCCCTTGCTAGACCTGGTTCCCAGCGGGGGGCGGGCGGGCGGCCGGCAAGCGCCAGGCACGTCTCAGCACGAGGCCCCGAGACAGTAAACACACACGGGACACAGTGGTTTGCCGGGAAGTCCCACGTGAAGTCGAAACGATGTCTCCCCCAGCCCCCAGCTGAAACGCGCCGGCCCAGAACCCCTCCTCTCCCACCGTGTCTTTTTTGGGGAAAGTGGACTCGGGCAGCCGGGTCAGGGGTCAGGGGTCGGGGAGAGATCCGGGCTGTTCGCTCCCTTCCCGGTCAGCGGGGTCAGCGGCCGGGACCCCGAGCGGCTCGGTGGTTGCACCTGCTCTTTGCAGACACACAGCAGCCCCCCCCCCCCCCGCCCGAGGGGCCCGCGGGCGCTGCGGGGCCCAGGCGCGGGGAGGCTGGACGTGACCTGTCCGGGGCCGCCTCCCTCCTCCGGAGAGCCAGCAGCGCCCGTCCCTGCGCTCTGTGGACAGACCCGGGGACACTGCGAAGAGGGGGGTCCGGCCGGTTTCGATGGACTCCATCCACGGGCGGACCCGCAGAGAGACCCGCGGTGACGTGGAGAAAGCATCGCGGCCTTGCCGAAGAGCCTTGATCCACGGGCATGAACCAGCTTTCGGAAAAACAGCGAAGGAGCTGGGGGGCCCTTTGCACCCGCTTTTCACCCCGAGCTCCGGGGGACGCAGGGCCGGGTCCCTCTCCGCTCCACCCTCCCCAGCCAACCTCCCGGTCCCCGCCCTGGGCCCAGCGTGTCGGCCCTGGCGGCAGCCCAGGCAAAGGGGCGTTTCCCACGCCCGCCATCCGCAGTCAGAGCCTGCTGGGCCCTCACCACCCGGCCTCACCACCTGGCCCCTTAGATCTGCAGGTGACGCGGAGCAGCGACAGCCTCTCCCGCCTCCCTCACTGCCGGAGGGGAGTGTGGGGTCAGAGCCCCCCAGCAGAGCTCCAAGGGGAAGGGAGCATCCCCTCGGCCCCTCCCCAACGGCAAGGTCAAAGGCCAGGCGCGCAGGTTTGCTCTGGGAAACCTGAGGCCGCCCCCCTCTGCCTCCGGACCCCAACCGAACCCTCCTTCCGCCGCTTCCGGTCAGCATCCGACAGCCACTCTGCCACCCGGGAACCCAAACACGTGAGACTGCAAAACCGGACCCCAGAATATAAAAATAAAATCCCCGCAGAGGCCGCGCCTTCCTGAGGGCGGATCAGCCGGCGGCACAGACACGCCCGAGCCCGAGGCCTCCTGCGCACCTGCGCCACCGGGCGCTTCCCCGCGCCAGGCCTGTGCGCCGCGGCCCGCAGCGGTTCCCCGGAGAGGAGCGCGGGCGAGACAGGGCCCTGGGGGCCTGGAGGGGCAGAAGGGCCCCGCCCGGGACGCCCCGAGAGTCAGAACCTGACTCCACCGCCTCCGGGGCACCCCAGGCCATCCCCCCCGCGCACGCAGAGCGCCGGAGCCCCGGGCGCGCCGTGCCAGGTGCGGGGAGCGCGGAGGCCCTGCCCAACCGCGGCGGCGGCGGGCGGGGTCAGGGGACGGGGACCAGGGAGCGGAACCGCGGCGGCCGGCGGCTGCTCACCGAGGCTCTCCGCGGGCGGGCGGGCGGCGGCGGCGTCCGACGGTCCCGCTCGGCCATTGCAGTGGCGCTGCGGCGGGCGGGGGGCGCGCGTCACCGCGGGCGGGCGCCCCAAACCCAGGCCCTCCCCCGACACTCCCTGCCGCCGGCCGCGCGGCTCCGCGACACCCCAGCCCCACCTCTTCCTTCTCTGCTCCTCGCGTTCTCCCGCGGAGCGGAGCGGGGCTGGCGGTCGGTTAGGGTCGGAAACGCCTCCGCGGAGAACCTCCCCGGCTGCTGCGCAGGGTGCGCGGAGGGCGGGGACGCCGGCGGCGGCCGGGGCGCCCGCCCTGACCCGCACCCAATAATGAATCCCCGTTCACGTCCCGGGTTACTCACCCCCGTCTCACGCGGGATGTCGGCAGCCCGGCGGACTCGTGCGTTTTGTCGGTTAACCCGTGGCTCCCCATCTCCCGGCGCTGCCTCGCACCGCCCCGGCGAGAGGGGCGCTCCTGAGGACTCGCGGGGGGCGCGTCCTGTGTGGCTGCTCCGAACCGCGAGCGCGGGCGAGCCCCGCCACCGCCAGGGGCTCCGGGTCTGGGGTCCACCTGCAAAGTGGGGGAAACCCATGCCCACTCCCGAGAGTTGCTGGGGGAGGTGAGTGAGTTAATTCAACAAACGTAGCGCGCAGGAAGGGTAAACGTGGTTTCAGGGAAGCCTGTATTCGCGGTGAAATGTCCCTGGGTGGAACGCAGGCCTCCCCTGGGTGCCAAGGCCGATAGACCTGCAGACCCCACAGATCTGGACACAGAGGGCACAGCCCTGCCGGCGGGCCCTTCGGTGCGACCGAGGGGCCGCCTCCTGCGCCTTTGCCCCAACCCTGCGCCCCGGCCTCCTGGCCACAGGGAAGCCACTACCGTGTATTGGTCGCTGGTCAAGAAACAGCCAGGGCTGTTTTCTCTCCCAGCGGGCACCTCGGGGCACCTTATTTTATTTTATTTTATTTTCATTTTAGAGAGGGTAGAGAGACATCAACTTGTTCCATGTACTTGTGCATTTATTGCATGATTCGTGTACGTGCCCTGACCGGGGATCGAACCCACAGCCTTGCTGCATTGGGTGGCGCTCTAACCAGCTGAGCCACCCGGCCAGGGCCTGGGCCACCGTGAACCGGCCCTCCCGGCCTCCCCTGCCCTCCCCATGCCGAGGCAGGGCGGACTCCCAAGGCCCGCGGTGTTGGCCACCGCCCGCCGCCGTGGCTCCGCAGTCAGAGGCGCAGCAGGTGGGTCAGCATCGGATGGGCGGATGAGGACGCGCGGTGAGTCCCTGATGGAGCTCCCGGAGGCGCCCGGTGGGCGGGAAGGAAACCCGCAGCTCGGATGGGCGTCCACTCCAGTGACACCCGGGGGACGGCCCCGTGGGGGACGCCGTGTGGAGGCCCCACGGTGGTCTCAGCTGCTGATCGGCGACTGGGCAGCCGCCGCAGCCAGGGAGGGGGGCCTGGTCAGCGAGGTCAGCGTGTTAAACCCCACGACGTCCGCACCCGCACCACCGCCCGCCGCTCCCGTGAGCTGGTCAAGCCCAGGCCAGCGGCGCGGCTGCGGAAGGTGGCCCCGGGCACCCCTGTGGCCACGACACCTCCGCCGCTGGCTACTGGGGCCGCCGCCGCCGCCAGAGCACTGTGTGAGGGTGCCCACGGAACACAGCATCCTCACCCCCGGGCCCACTCCCCACGGCCCGTTCCCCCCAGACCCCCTACCCCCGCCCCGAAGCACCTGATCAGCAGTGTAGACGAAGGTCCCAGTGACCTTCCCTCCAAGCGAGTGGGCACCCCACTCCTGCTCCGAGGGGGCCACCTCGGGCCCCCCACCACTGTCCCCCCCCCGCCCCCCCCACTGTCCCTCAGCCACTCTGAGAGGGGCCCAATGCCATCTGTCCTTTCCCAGCCAATACCAGCGGAGCAGCGGAAGCTCCATACCGGTCGGTCACTCTCTGGGGGACACCCCGTAACACCGAACACACCGGTGGCGGGGGACGGGGCTCCTGAGCACGCCTTTGCCGACCCGCGGGCACTGCGGCTGCGCGAGGAGTCTCCGCGTCTCCCCCCCGAGACCCTCGCGCAGAACGACTGGAAGGTGTTTACGGCGGGGACGCCTGGCAGGCAGCGCCCCCGCCTGGAGTGAAAGTGAACTGACGGCCCGCGCCCTGTGCCTCAACGGCCCTAATGGAGGGTGCACCGGGCCCGGGGGTCGGGGGGGAATGGGGGGCATCTGTAATAGCATCAACAACGGGTTTTTAAGTGCGGTAACAGGAAAACACGGTTTCTGTGGTGTTCCTGACGCAAGTCGTGCCTGCCTTCGGCCAGCACACACCTGACCAGCCCAGCCTGACGGCCATTGTCCTGGACGCGGGAGAACGTCAAGGTCATGGAAAATGGGGGCCGAGGGGCCGTCCTGAGTTGGGGGGGCTGGAGACGGACAGAGGACGCGAGCGGGTGGGCGGACAGGGGGTGGGATGGGTGGATGGCAGGTGAGCGATCATGCAAACTACACTCAGGCGCCTTCAGTTTGTCAGCAGCAGCAGAGGCGTTGCTTCTGGGCTGGACCTTGGAAGACACTCTCTCTGGGAGTCAGGTCACTGGGGGTATTCACAGGGGCAGCTGAGCCCCGACCACCCACCTTAGCGAAGTAGCCAGCCATGCCGTGTGTGTGTGCGTGTGTGTTTAAAGGTTTTATGTATTTCTTTTTAGAGAGAGGGAAGGGAGGGAGAAAGAGAGGGAATGAAACATCCGTCTGTGGTTGCCTCTTGCATGCCCCCTACTGGGGACCTGGCCCACAACCCAGCAATGTGCCCTGACTGGGAATCGAACCACCGACCCTTTAGTTCACAGGCCGGCGCTCAATCTACTGAGCCACACCAGTTGGGGCCAGACAAGCTGCCTTAACCTTGCCCCTGCCAACACCCTCTGATGGCACCCACTGAGGGTCAGCTCCATGCCCCTGCCCCCAAACCCAGCAGCCGTCACCAGCGTGGCATCAAGGTCAAGAGACTCAGGGGCCACACCGCCCCGTCTGGTTCCAGCTCTGCTGCTTCTCGTTGGTGACGGAGGAGCCTCACCCACTGTGTCTTGGATTCCTCACCTGTGTCGTGGGCAGCACCAAGCCTCCGTGGCAGATAAACCCCAGCTTGAGTGGACAGTCCCAGCCTACCTGTCCAGTCTCTTGCTGTAGAGTGAGTCCCCCCAGATTCGTGTGTTGAACCCCAGGCTCCACTGCAGCGGCATGAGGTGGGGTCTCGGGGAGGTGACGAGAGGTCAGGAGCGTGGGAGCCATGTGATGGGATGAGCGTCTTTCTAGAGCCACCAGAGAGGTGACCAGAGTCACCACAGGAGGACACGACGAGACGGCCGCTATCTGAGCCTGGAAGAGGGCTCCCCCCAGAGCCCGACTGGACTTTCGGCCTCCGGAACTGTGGGAGGCAGCGTTTGCTGTTGAAGCGCTCGGTCTGTGACCACTTGTACAGCTGTCCACGTGAACTAAGATGCCCGTCTTTCCCTGCTCCACCTGCAGGCGTGTCTTTCACTCAGTTCCTTGAAAACACCCACGGCACTGACCACATGTTGTGCCTACATGCATGCACATGTGTCTACATGCATGCATATGTTTCTGCCGGGGAGGCCGCCCAGCCTGCACCTCCCAGCCTCTCCTACCCTCTCCCGACAGCTCAGCAGGTCCCACCAGCTCTCCACGCTCCAGGTCCCAGGGCACTTCCCCTGCCTCTCTGCAACGAAGTGTGTGCGCTTGTACACTGTGTGCAAATACAGTAACACAGTCTGCACTACAGACACACTGTGTTTACACACGGTAACAAAGTGTGCACCCTTTATACACAGTATATGAACAGTGTAACAAAGTGTGTGCCCTTCATACACAGTATATGAACACTGTAGCAAAGTGTGTGCACTTTATACACAGTACATAAACACTGTAACAAAGTGTGTGCCCTTTATACACAGTACATAAACACTGTAACAAAGTGTGTGCACTTATACACAGTACATAAACACTGTAACAAAGTGTGTGCACTTATACACAGTACATAAACACTGTAACAAAGTATGTGCACTTATACACAGTACATAAACACTGTAACAAAGTGTGTGCCCTTTATACACAGTACATAAACACTGTAACAAAGTGTGTGCACTTATACACAGTACATAAACACTGTAACAAAGTGTGTGCCCTTTATACACAGTATATGAACAGTGTAACAAAGTGTGTGCACTTTATACACAGTACATAAACACTGTAACAGACTTCCGGCCAAGGTGGAGGCGTAGGTAGACACACTGCACCTCCTCGCACAACCAAGACAGGGACACCAACAATTTAGAAACAGAATAACAACCAGAACTGACAGAAAATTGAACTGTATGGAAGCTGACAACCAAGGAGTCAAAACAGACAGATTTACCCAGACCAGTGGGAGGGGCGGAGTCGGGCAGCCGGCGGAGAGGGGTTGCGGCACAAAGGGCAGTGGGACTGGTTGCATAAGGCATCCCAGGTGCAGGAGACCGCAGCGGGCGGACCCTGGGCCCGGGGTGGCAATGGGCAGACCCAGCGAGGTGGTGACTGTGAAGCAAGGCACTGCGTGCAGGGCGCTGGCAGACCGGGCGGTCCCAGGGTCCCAGCACGGGGAAATACAGCCTCAGGGCACTGACTGAAAACACCTGTGGGGGTTGAGGCGCAGGGAGAGACTCCCAGCCTCACAGGAGAGTTCCTTGGAGAGACCCACGGGGTCCTAGAATGTACACAAGCCCACCCACCCGGGAACCAGCACCAGAAGGGCCCAGTTTGCTTGTGGGAAGTGGCAGAAGGGACTGAAATCCGATGGAGAGTGGAGCAAGCACCATTGTTCCCTCCCGGACCCCACCCCCACGTACAACATCAGAACCCAGTGTCTGGGTGGCCCCGCCCTGGGGAACACCTAAGGCTCTGCCCCTCAATACGTAACAGGCTTGACAAGATAAAAAAAAAAATGGCCCAAACAGAAGAACAGATCAGAGCTCCAGAAATAATACAACAAAGTGACCAAGAGATAGCTAACCTATCAGATGCACAGTTCAAAGCACTGGTGATCAGGATGCTCACAG